GCTTCTGCTACGTTTGAGTTTTCCTTTCTTTCCTTCGGCGGTGAGCTCGCCCCAAGGCCCTTATAGCCAAATTGGTTTACATTGGGGAGATAAATGCTCTGCAAATGCGCTTAAACACATACAGTAAAAATGCAGACAGTGCGTATCGGGATTACCGACCGAGTCAGAGAGCGGAAAGAGAGCCGCTGCTCGCCGAGTCTGTTTCATCCACTCTCAGGAAGAGTAGAGGAGGATTTAGCATATCCTTGCCTGTCAGTAATTCCTGGAATTATATAACGCCGGTGCAACAATAACAGTCCGGCGGTATTGTGAAAGTATTGTTTTGCAGGGCTGGCAGAGCGAGTCGTCGGGCGGGTCAGATGGAAGGGTTAGACCGCGCCGCTTTGCAGAGTTTTCAAGTGAGAATCCTGTCGAGGGGAATTATGGGGGATCTGCTTTAAACCTCTGAAGTGAGGAATACATTTCTGCTGAGCGGCTTCTTCTGTTGTCTTAACGCCGAGAGCGGTGGAGGAGTTTGGTGTTTCACGTCACTCATACGTAGAATATTTTGCAAAAGTGGTCGCGTTCTGCTACTTGACTATTTTCTCTTTTTTGTCTGAATTTATAGGTGCACTCAAGTCATGTTAGGAGCCTATAAATGCTGTTTTATTTAAAGGGAGCGGGTCGCCTCTTGGAGGCAAACATGTTGAGATCACATGACCAGCTGAACGTTTTATCTCTGTAAGCCCTGTGTTATCGGACAATTCTGCATGGGATAAATGATTCTCAGTGAATTATTATTATTATTATTATTATTATTATTTTACAGTGCCATCATTAACTGAAAACAATGCTATTGCATGTAGCCTACCTTTAAAACACATGCATGAAATCTGTCATATTGTAAGAAAAATAATTTTTCTTGATTTTTGAATATTTTTTTGTGCTATAGGCATATTATAGCCTAATAACGTTCCAAGGCTTGATGATGGTCACTTTTTTTTTCCTAAGGACCATGTGCTTCCAATTTGAAAAATTAAAATGTATCAAAAAATGTTGATAAAAAGACAAAGGAGACATTTACAAGCAAAATAATTTATTTGAATACAAAAAAGTACACCAGGCTTTTGAACCGTTTCAAACTGTGCTTATTTAATAATTCTGGAATTGTTTAAATTAAAACATTGAATAGGCTACAGTTTGTTGTGTAACCAAAATACCACTAATAAGCGGGAAAAAATTGATTTGCATTATGCGGGGGTTTTAATTGTAATAAGCCTGAAATACACTGAGACTCTAAAATGACTTTAGTACTTCCTCATTCAAACAGATGAGGAAGATAACAGTCTTATAACCATCTAAAACATATAAACACAATTAAGTGAACATTGTCATTAACAGTTGATCAAAAGCAATCTCTTGGCATAAATGCTTAGCCTATTTATTGATTGCGAACTGCTCTGAAACTGTATTGTGATTTCTGTTTTCAGGACCCAATTTTATTGCCTCTTTAGACAATAATTAATACTTTTGTTATACCCTTTAAGATATTGAAGACATTTGATGACCTTACATTTAAAAAAAAAGAAAGAAAAAGCAGAAAATTCAGACTTTTAAGGACACACGGACACACTTTTTATTCACACACATACTCCTAAATCCATTTTACAGTTTGCTCACATCTATCTTTCGTTTCAAATGCGATTGAAATGCTGGTACTGTCGGGCCCTGCTTCCTCACCTCCAAAATAAGCATATATAGTAAAACTGCATTGGACTTTTGTAACGTTAGATGAATACATTTAATACAAGACCGCCCACATTGATATGTAAATAGCATCTGTTCAGTGTTCAGAATCTTGGTTGGTCCTTTCACAGTGAGGCAATGAGGATATTGCTTGATACTATTATTTCTAAACACCAGAAGAACCTATTATAAAAGCGAAAATAGCAGCAGCAGGAAAAAAACAAGCAAAACTTAAACAGTGTAGTCACCCTTAAAACTTTTTTTCTTGGCTCTGCACCCACTGAGATGGAGTTTAACTAATAAACTTCATAAATACTTTAAATAAATGCTTGTTCATGCAATGTCTCCAACCCTAAAATCAGACGCACCCCTCTGATATTTCCTGACTTCTCTACTTTATTCACACCCAGCAAGGTTAGAACAAAACTCATACCGTGCCATTGAAACAGCCCTTTTTCACACTCCTTTATGGCTCCTCTAAAGGTCTTAGCCGTGCGGCAAAGGAGAGCTGTCTCTGGGGAACCTGAGCCCATTGATGAACTGACAGCCACTGCCAGAATATGATCCTAATCCTGTTCCCAGCATTCTTTAACCCACTGCCATCGCAGTACCGCCACATATTCAAGCAGCTGTCAACTCAGAAAATCCCTATAACAGAGCACAACCCTGATACACATCAAAGAGCTCAAGACGACCTCAACAGCTTAACACACACACACACACACACACACACACACAAGTAAAGACGAAAAAAGCACCCAACCCAAAAACAGCACTCATACACACACAAAAAAAACGCTGGTTGTAACTGTCAAAGAAGAAATTTGACATCTCGTACTTGGCATCAAGTTCATTTTATTGTGGTATAATTACATTAATGATAACTAAAGCAGTGGTTCTCTAAACCGGTTTTGCTTCAGGACACAAATTTTATGTTGGAGAATTGGAGAATAACAAAAAGCACACATTACACTTTATTTATTCATTCATTCATTCATTTATAATCTTTATTTAAATGTGTACAATTACTAAAATGGCATAGACTAAGAGCACTGATGTTTTTGAAATCATTCAAATTTTTAAAAATATTTTTATTTAAATGTGTACAACTACTAAAATGGTATGGACTTAATTAGAAAACAGACATTTTTATTCAGTTTGTTTATTTAAATGTGTACAATTGCTAAAACAGCAGATTAAATAAGAAAATTTACATATTTATTTATTTTTATTTCATTTTAATGTATTTTTAGTTGTGTGTACAATTACTAAAATAGCACAGACTGAATAAGAAAATTAATGTTTAATTTTTTTAACAATGGCTTTCAAGTTCAAACAATTCACCACACAAACCATGCTTATCCTTGTAGTGATAAAAACATGAAACCACATTTCATGTGGCCTAAAATTGTAGTTTTTTTAATATATAAATACTTTTTTTTATTATTATTTTATTGTGTACAACTACTAAAATGGCATAGACTGAATTCGAAAACTGACATTTTTATTTATTTATGTTCATTTAAATGTGTACAATTACTAAAATGGCATAGATTAAATAAGAAAATTTATGTTTTAATTTTTTTTTTAATGACTTTAAGTTGAAATAATTTACCACACAAGCCATGTTTATCCTTGTTGTGATAAAAACGTGAACCTGGACCATACTTTTGTTAAATGATATTTTCATCACAACTTTTTCATGTTAGCAACTCCAATTTATTTACCTGTTAGTTAATCACATTTTATTGTTTGCATTTAGCATTGTTTTTCCCCGCTGTCAGTGACAAACCAAGGCATTAGAGATGTTAACCATTATTATGCTTTTAATAAAGATCCTGTCTTTTGTCCTCCCTTTTCTTTCTGGAATGTGAATGAAATCCATCTTTTTAAATGCATTGCAGTGCCAGCCTATAAAGTATGGGCTGTTAACAGGTGTCTGAACACGACATGTCTTCTCACTCCACTCCTCTGTTCTTCCTCAACTTAATCCACTGGTATCCTGACCCGTGTTAATCTGTTTACTGCGTGAATTCTGCCGCAGAGCTGCCAAACCTCTGACAGGTGGGTGGTGACGGTCTCGCTGAGGCTGATGGACTCATTTTCTGCCACTGTGTTTTAAGCTTTTCATTGGCTCGGTTATCAAGATCAGCATGGATGTGAAAGAGGGGAAAAGGCCAGACAGAGGAAGCGCATAAACATTTAATTTGTGTGTTAACCAGGTTAAGTTTGCTATTTATTTGTAATGGTGTACAGGTAATGCAGTGCATGTGTATTAAAAAGCAAATTTTGGCGAATAAACATGAAAAAGGAGCATGATTAAAAATCTAATCCAAGTGAAAACAAACCTAAATTTAGGTCAGTGATCTGTTGTTTTTCCACTGCGGATAAGGATAAATCCTGCGATTTACTTTCATAATTTTCTTAATAAACCTCTAACTATGATTTTTGCATTTCAGGGCAGTTTAACTAATTCAGTTTTCTTTTTTGAAATTACAGAAATCTAAAGGATAATTTAATTATAGAGATTTTTTTGTTGTTGTTTAAATTGTGGATATGTAAGAAATGCATGACTTTTTTTTTTAACTTTTGATTTTTTAAAGTTTAACTTTCAAATTGCATGTTGAAATTAATGTGACTCATGGGTTGAAAATGCGTGTGCAATAAATTATTAGGCCCAACAGAAAAGGAAAAAATGTGAAAATCTGAAATATAGACTCAATAATTAAAACAATAAAGCTCAGAATCCACTAATTACTGTTACACATTCAGTTCATATATGTGGTTTATTCCCTTTCATTTCACTGATAAATTATTCACATTTATTTTAACAATTCAGAGATATCCGATAGACTCTAAATCGACAAAACACATGGCATGACGCCAGAAGCGTCAGTCTGAAGTCTTTCTGATGTTTGCAGGGGCTTCATCCATTCGCTTTATGTCCCTTTATAACATCCACAGACAGTGAAGACATTTAAACTTCTTCAAATATACAAAGAGGAGGCTTCACTAACCTTCTACCAAGGCTGTGGACCTGAATAAGCCTATTTACAGAAACAAATTAATTAATGTGCTTTTTTTTACGTTTCAAAGTGCAAAGCCAGGGGCGTTTGGAAAAGTTAAAACCTCTGCCATGCAGCCGGACCAAAACACTTAAAAGTCATCCAAACTTCTCCACTCCGCCATGCTATATAATAATGAAACAGCTCCAGCTGTTGATTTGAGCACACTAATGTGATGTATATCCTGAACACAAGACGTCGACACAGAAATGCATTGATTTGCATGAATCAGTGGTCAGTTTGGGAGCGTGTCCAAGCCGAGTGATGCAGCGTGCTGTTTGGCCCTCAGACGCAGGTTCTCGATGCTTGTGGTTTTGCTGTTGAGGGCCGGTAGAGCACCGGAGCCCTGCAGCAGAGGGCTGCTCCACATCTGCTGGGCTTGGGACAGGCTCTGGTAGTAGGGCTGACACGGCAGGGATCCCAGCGGAGACGCCATGTTCACGTTCATGCCCAGGTAAGGTAAGGAGGACGGCGCGGTCACGTCGAAGGCGGGATAGTGCATGAGGTTGTTGGTGGCGGCCATGTGCTGGCGAAACTGTTCCTGCAGACGGAACAGACTGAGAGGAGATGAAGCGTAGGAATTGGTCTGAGCCACTCCACTGCCTACACCACTGGAGGAGGGAAGAGCTGGAGAACCCAGCGGCTCATCTGAGGAGGGAGAGGAGACAATGTAACACTGTTAACCCCAAAGAACCCTTCAGTGAACAGTTTGTTAGTGTCAAGAAATTTGTAATAATATAAAGAACGTTTTTCGCTATAAATAACCTTTTGTGCAATGGAAAGGTTCCATGGATCATAAAGGTTCTCCATGAAACCACAGGTGCCAATAAAGAACCTTCATTTTTGACCCACCAATTTGATCATTTATATATATATATTAATATAATATATATATATATTGTTACTTTTTCTGATGTAGAGTCATGAACATGCATACAGTTTTAACACTGTGGAATTTGCATAAAATTTGTTACGATTATGATGTTTCTGGGTCAATTTGACCAAATTTCATGGTTGAAGGTGGCTGCAAAAACAAAAAACAAAACAAAACAAAAAAAACATTTTAATGTCATGTCAGTGTCTCAGCTACCTCTATAGGTGTTATCATTTGCTTTTATGCAATCGATTTGATTATTTTATTTGAAGAAGCTTGTATATATTTTGTGCATTTCATTAGGAATCAAACCCATGATCTTGATGTTGCTAGCACCATGTTCTTACTGTTTGATCTTCAGAAAAACACACAGAATAAATGTTTTTCCAGATTACTTCTTGTTTAAAATGTTTAAAAAATAGTTATAATACTGTTTATAAAATGTAGAATTTTTGAAAAATATATTTTTTTTTTCACCATTTTGAAAAAATCATGTTCTCATGGTTTTTCTTAATTTCTGTTTTTTTTTTTTTTAATAGTGAGAACTATTAATGTTCAAAGTTTAATGTTTTACCTGATTGATTGATTGATTGATTGGATTGATTGATTGATTGATTTTGCATTTTTCATATTTTTGGTGAATTATTTTGTCTCCAATTTGACCCACACCATAAAAACTGTACCCACATTTTTAACATAATAGTTAAAAAATTAAAATCTGAAATTGCAATCCCATCGTTATTTACTATTATGGTGCCTTTTTGACATTTTTTGGAGCTAGACCCTTCAGTTTTTCTCCTTCTGTGCATCCCAGAAGAAAGAAATGGCGAGGAACTTATGACAGTCATTTAATTTTTGGTGGCACTATTTCTTTAATTCCATTAATTCTTTAAAGGGGTCATATGATGAGATTTCAAGTTTTCCTTTCTCTTTGGAGTGTTACAAGCTGATTGTGCATAGATAAGATCCCTGAAGTTGCAAAGACTAAAGCCTCAAAACCAAAGAGATATTCTTTATCAAAGTTAAGACTCTGCCACACCCCCCTAAAACGGCTCGTTCTAACACACCCCCACATATCTACCTCACTATGTGGAAATATTTGCTTAATGCTGCCCAAATGTGCACGCAAAGAAAGAAGGCGTGGTTTCAGTAACCGCAGTTAGTGTTGAAGCAGCCATGTCAGGGAAACACTGTGTGTTTCAGTGCGAAAGCAAAAGCACTTTATTTGGCCTTCCAGAAGTAGATGCAATAAGG